ACTGGACAGTCTTCAAAATTTAAAATATTTGCACTTCAAACGACATCATCAAGAAAGTGCAAAGACAAGCCACAGAATGGGAGAAACTATTTGGAAATCATTTGTCTGATACAAGACTATATCAACAATATTCAAAGACCTGTTACAACTCAGTAACAAAAAGACAAATTGTTGAAGATATGGGCGAAAGATCTGAATAGGCACCTATCCAAAGGAGACATATAAATTGCCAATGAACACATGAAAAGATGTTCATCATTACTCGTTGGAGAAATGCAAATCACAACCACAATGAGATACTTCTACACACACACCACCCCACTGGGATAACCCATGAAAGAGAGGTAGTAACAATTGTCAAATATGTGGAGGAATTGGAACCTCATACACTGCTGTTGGGAATTTAAAATGGCATAGCCACTTTAGAAAACAGTCTAGCAGTTGCTCAAATGATTAAATATAGAGTACTATATGATCCAGCAATTCCACTCCAAGGTATGAAATAAGAGAGAAGTGAAAACGTGTGCATGCAAAACCCTGTACACAAACATTCATAGCAACATTATTCGTAATAGCCAAAAAGCAGAAACTACCCAAATACCCACCAAGTGATGAATGGATAAATAAAATGTGCTATATACATACGGTGAAATAGTAACAATAAAAAGATTAGTAACAAAAAAAATAGTAACAATAAAAAGTATTGATGCATACTACAACATGGATGAAATTTGAAAATGTTATTCCAAGTGAAAGAAGCCAGTCACATAAGATTGCATCTTGTACAATTCCACGTACATGAAATGTCTAGAGTAGCCAGTCTGTAGAGACACAAAGTAGACTGTGATTGCTTAGGGATGGGGGCGGTGAGGGAAGAATTGAGGGGTTAAATGTAGGGGAATTCCCTACATCTTAGGAGGTGATGAAAATGTTTTAAAATTCTGGAGACTGTTGTCCTACTCTGTGAATATATCCTAAAAGCCATTGAATTATACACTATAAATGGGTATATTATATGTGAATACATACTTATATCACTAAAGCTGTTAAAATATAGAGTTCACTAAACCCTTAACTCAGTTTCTCTTAAAGTTAACAACTTACCTAAGTATATTACAATTATCAGAGCAGGAAATCAATGCCAGAATAATACTGTTAACGAAAGATCTCATCAGTCTTTCTCTTAATGTCGTTTTTCCTGTTCCAGGTTCCAATCCAGGATCACACATTGCATTCAGTTATGTTCTCTTCATCTCCTCCAATCTGTGACATTTCTTCAGTATTTCCTGGCTTTTCAAGACATTAAGTGAATACTAGTCAATTGTTTTGTGTAGGGAATATTTGAGTTTTCTCACAATTACATTGAGGTTTTCAGTTTTTAGCAAGAAAACCACAAAAGTGATACTGTGTCCTCATTGCATCATGTCAGGGAGTAGATGAGGTTGATGTTTTATTATTGGTGATGTTAACGTTGATCACTTGATTAAGGTATGTCTGCCAGGTTTCTGCATTGTGAAGTTACTAGCTTCCTCTTTGGAATTGGTTTAAAATCTTGTGGAAATATTTTGAGCTAGTGTAATATCCTGTTTTCATCAAACTTTCAACCACAAATTTTTGCATCCATTAGTGGATCTTGCCTGCAATTTATTGTGGTATTTGGAAAATGATGATTTTCTGACATTTTTTTCCTACATTTACTAGTAGGAATTTGTTAATTAAATTCTGTAAGGAAAAGCTGTTTCTCCTCATTTATGTATGTATTTATAAATACAGTTCATTTTTATTTTATTCTATGGGTTATTTCCAACACTATTATTATTATTATTTTGCTCAAATTTTCCAGCATTGGCCATTGGAGATTTCTTCAGGCAGGTTCTTGTGTTTTTTTTTAACATATTATCATCCATTTTCACATACCATTTTCTTACTTTCTGAAATCATAAGACATTCCAGGGTTACTTTTTATTTTTCTGCCTCATCATAGGGATTAACCTTTTTTCCAAGAAACCTGATTTCTTGTATTGAAGAATGGTAGTTAGAAATCAAAATTTGAGCATTAAGTGTGCCCATTGCTACTAAGATGTCACTGCGCATAAACCCACTCACCATCAACTAAATTCTTTTTTTTTTTTAAGACAGGGTTTCACCACATTGTTCAGGCTAGTCTTGAACTCCTGACCTCAAGTGATTCACCCGCCTCAGCCTCCCAAAGTGCTAGGATTACAGGCATGAGCCACCGTGCCCAGCTCTAACTTCTTATTAATAGATTCATCCATATTTTGTTTTCTACACAGACATTTATTAGTAAACATGATAGTTTTGTTTTTACTTGTTTTGCTTCTTTCTAGTTATAAGCAATAGATGATATAGATAGATATCAGGATATACAATTACAAAATGCGAGTCAGGCTGCCTAATGTGCATAGAAAAACACAGGAAAGAAAGCAGAAAAATATAAGCAGTGAATTAAAGATTAATGGATAAACTTTTCCTTCTAAATGTATCTCTGTACTTTCCAGTTTCTCCAAAATGAGTATCTATCACTTTCGTTACCAGGAAAAAAAAAAACAAACTTAAAAATAAAAGCGGCCAGGTGCAGTGGCTCATACCTGTAATCCCAGCACTTTAGGAGGCAAAGGCAGGTGGATCACCTGAGGTCAGGAATTTGAGACCAGCCTGGCCAACATGGTGAAACCTCATTACTACTAAAAATAAAAATTAAAAAATTAGCCAAGTATGGTGGCAGGTGCCTGTACTTAGGAGGTGGGGCATGAGAATCACTTGAACTTGGGAGGCAGAGGTTGCAGTGAGCCCAGATCGTGCCATTGCACTCCAGCCTGAGCAACAAGAGCGAGACTCTATCTCAAATAAATAAATAAATAAAACAAGTTGAAAACACAATTTAAAAGTAAGGATGATATACTAAAAATGCCCAATTAGAAATAAAACAAGTAGCTCTGATGTGCCTGCTCAGCACGGAGCCAGCAGCCTGTATAGTTACAGGCTGATATACCATGTTATAGCCAAGAAAACAACCTCTTAGATTTCTGGAACTTTTTTTTCCCCAGTAAGGGAATGTATGGAATTGACCTGTCAAAGACATACAGTCGTCTTTATACTTCATCTTACCCAAAAAGCCACAATTGATCTTGATTTCATTTATTTTGAAAGGCAGCAAAGTCTTAACTATCCATATGGTGTATTTTATCCTTTCTATGAATTATTTATGATTTTTCTTTTTAGGATGCCTTAACTCACACTGCTTATTTCCTAAGGATAGACAGGAAATACAGACTAATTTACATCTGATACTACACTTCCCATTTTACAGATAAGGAAACAGACACTTTAGAGATCTTTTCTCTAGAAAAGATCAGATCCTTTCTCTGATGCCTCTACTGGCTTCCTCTGCCTACCCCATAGTACCTTGTCTCCATCATGACACTCATCAAAATTTTCTGTCTTCTCCATCGTAAGCTTTATGAGATTTAGATCTTTGTCCTGTTCCCCTCTGTGTCCCCAGGCCTAACACAGTACCTGGCATAACACATAGTAGATGATCAATAAATAGCTATCAAATGTTGAATGAGTTTTTTCCTTTCTTTTTTTTTTTTGAAACAGAGTCTTACTTTATTGCCTAGGCTGGAGTGCAGTGGTGTGATCTCTGCATACTGCAACCTCTGCCTCCCAGGTTCAGGTTATTCTCCTGCCTCAGCCTTCTGAGTAGCTGGGACTACAGGGGTGCACCACCACACCTGCCTAATTTTTGTATTTTTTATAGAGATGAGGTCTTACTGTGTTGCCCAGGCTGGTCTGGAACTCCGGGCCTCAAGTGATCTGCCCATTTTAGCCTCCCAAAGTGTTGGGATTACAGACGTGAGTCACTGCACCCAGCCACAATCCAATTTCAAAAAAATTACAGTACCTGCCAAATTAAATGTTTGATTGATTGCCTTTGGAAATATTCATAACAAAATTTGACTACATTTGGGTTGGAATTGAAAACAATCAGTCAGTAAAGGCTCCTAATGAACAGTGTTTGAAAGCAAAATTACTGTTCAGTCCACCTTTTCTGGTATAAAGAATTTTTCATATGGTAAAACTTTTTTTTAAAATATCATTTGAGGCTGTAAGTATTATAGCATCTAGATGCTAATTGCATGTAGTTGTTCACTGAGCTGCATTTATACTAAAAGAAAAGAGATAAAATTAAGTCAATATAAATCATAAAAGTCTGTTCATTTAAAGGAAGATTTGCTCTTTTAATCAGTTATCTCAACAACAGCTTTACATGCCTAGAACTACTTTAGATGTGTGTAGAAATAATTTTATTATAGACAGAGATAATGATACAGCATTACAGTTTCATAGTTTCTAACATTTTGAGAATATAGCAATCATGACTAATTCAGTTCAGTTTATTAAGTTGGTACATAAATCCAGCATTTATTGAGGACTGTCAGTGCTCTAGATACTGTGCAAGACAGTCACTGTATAAAAATGAGTAAAACACCACCGTAAAAAGCTCACAGTCTAATGTGGTATCTTTGGACATTATATATATATATATATATATTTTCTTGTATATGGTTTGTTGCTAAATTTAGGATAAAGAAGGCTTACGTTAATTTTGTCAAGAGCTGTAGCCTAAAGCTTAATTTTTTCCAGGTGGCCTGTTGAAGCCATTAGCAGCAGCACTTTATATGCAAATAGAATTTAATGAAGCAAACGTCTCATACACTCAGCTGCTTTTATCTCATCCAGAATGTTTCCTGTATTTGTGTTAGATATGGGAGGTGATGGGCAGGTTACAAAGAAAAGAATATCTGATATTTCTTTCTCAAAACTGTGATGGGGAACATAAAAAGGAAAAAATACCTGCTCTGTAAATCTCTTCATACCTATGATACCCAGTATCAGCTGACAGTGAACTCAAGTCTGTGTCCTCTGTGTGTATTTTTAAAAGTGTATTAAAAGATCAACTTTTTTCTTCTTGGCAGGTGTCCTCGTAGACTTGGGTCTGGAAGAAAATGGGACAGCCCACCAGAGAGCAGAAAAATATGTTGTTCGTCTAGACAATGAGATTCAAACCAAGTTTGAAGTTTTTATGAGGAGAGTGAAACAGAACCCGTACACACTGTTTGTGCTAGTTCATGACAACTCCCATGTGGAACTAACAAGGTGATTGCTTCAGAGTGAGCAAACGGAGTCTCCCTTCTACAGCAGTAATTGTTACCTAATGAAATGTGTTAAAGGTGTCTGGGTGTGGTGGCTCACGCCTGTAAATCCCAACACTTTGGGAGGCTGAGACGGGTGGATCACTTGAGGTCAGGACCTAGAGAACAGCCTGGCCAACATGGTAAAACCCCATCTCTAGTAGAAATACAAAAATTAGCTGGGCCTGATAGCACATGCCTGTAATCCCAGCTACTTGGGAGGCTGAGGCAGGAGAATCACTTGAACCCGGGGCCAAAGGCTGCAGTGAGCCAAGATCTTGCCATTGCACTCCAGCCTGGCTAACAGAGCGAGACTTCGTCTCAGAAAAAAAAAAAAAAAAAGTGTTAAAGGTGATTCCAAAGCCCAGGGACCCTAACACTTGGCATCTTACTGGTGACTTTTTCCTGCCCTTTTCTTGCTTACTCAACTTTTCTCATTGATTTCATGTTGGTTTTATGTTAACTACATGTATTAATTCACTTTCATGCTGCTGATAAAGACATAACCTGAAACTCAGCAATTTACAAAAGAAAAAGGTTTAATTGGACTCACAGTTCCACATCGCTAGGGAAGCCTCACAATCATGGCAAGGAGAATCAAGTCACATCTTAACATGGATGGTGGCAGGCAAAGAGAGCTTGTGCAGGGAAGCTCCCCCTGATAATACTATCAGATCTCATGAGACTTACTATCACAAGAACAGTACAGGAAAGGCCTGCCCCATAATTCAGTCACCTCCCACTGGGTCCCTCCCACGATACATAGGAATTATGGGAGCTACAAGATGAGATTTGGGTGGTGATACAGAGCCAAACTGTATCTTTCCACCCCTGGCCCCTCCCAAATCTTATATCTCCACATTTTAAAACCAATCTCATATCTTCCCAACAGTCCCCCAAAGTCTCAACTCATTAAAGCACTAACCTAAAAGTTCAAGTCCAAAATCTTATGAGACAATGCAAGTCTCTTTGTCCTATGAGCCTGTAAAATCAAAAGCAAGTTTGTTATTCCTAGATATAATGGGGGTACAGGCATTGGATAAATACCAAATGGTATTTGTATTCTCCCATTCCAAATGGGAGAAATTGGCTAAAACAAAGGGGCTACAGGCCCCAGTAGAAACTCAGGGTGGGGGGTCCAACCTCACATTTCCCTTCCTCACTGCCCTAGCAGAGGTTCTCCATGAGGACCCGCCCCTGCAGCAAACTTTTGCTTGAGTATCCAGGTACCTTCATACATCTTCTGAAGTCTAGGTGGAGGTTCCCAAACCTCAATTCTTGACTTCTGTGCACCCACAGGCTCAACACCACATGGAAGCTGCCAAGGCTTGGGGCTTCCACCCTCTGAAGCAATAGCCCAGGCTGTACCTGGGCCCTTTTTAGTTGCAGCTGAAACAGCTGGGACACAGGGCACCAAGTCCCTAGGCTGTACACAGCACAGGGACCCTGGGCCAGGCCCATAAAACCATTTTTTTATCCTAGGCCTCCAGGCCTATGATGGGACAGGCTGCAATAAAGACCTCTGACATACCCTAGAGACATTTTCCCCATTGTCTTGGGGATTAACATTGAGTTCCTCATTACTTATGCAAATTTCTCTAGCCAGCTTATGCAGGGAAACTCCCCCCTTATAATATTATCAGATCTCATGAAACTTACTGGCTATCCTGAGAACTGCTTGGGAAAGACCTCTCCCCACAATTCAGTCATCTCCCAGTGGTTCCCTTCCACAACACATGGGAATTATGGGAGCTACAAGATGAGATTGGTTGGAGGGGGGATCAGAGTTAAACCATATCACTACACTGTGGATGAATTTAGAGATTCCTTTAAAAAATTCTGTTTTAAGTGCTTTGTGGAGCTCAGCTATGTCAGGAGAAAGGACAGCAATAAGGAGGTTAAGATGAATGAGCTCCTGGAATGGAGATGTGCTTCCCTCTCTGCCTCCACCCCACTTTTCCTTTTTGCCTTCCTTCTCTTCATTTTTTTTTTTTTTTTTTTGAGATGGAGTTTTGCTCTTGTTACCCAGGCTGGAGTGCAATGGCATGATCTTGGCTCACCACAACCTATGCCTCCTGGATTCAAGCAATTCTCCTGCCTCAGCCTCCTGAGTAGCTGGGACTACAGTCGCACACCACCATGCCCAGCTAATTTTTGTATTTTTAGTAGAGATGGGGTTTCACCGTGTTGACCAGGATGGTCTTGATCTCTTGACTTCGTGATCTGCCCGCCTTGGCCTCCCAAAGTGCTGGGATTATAGGCATGAGCCACTGTGCCCAGCCTTTGCTTTTCTTCCTTTCTCTTCTACTATTTCTCCCCTTTTTTGCCTTTCTCTCTTCCCTCTTGCCTTTAAAAGCAGTAAAGATGCCACTTTCAAGACCTGAAACCTTCCCCAGTTTCCCAGTAGAATATCATATTTACTGGATGAACTTTTTTTTTTTTTTTTTTTTGAGACAGAGTCTTGCTCTGTCACCCATGCTGGAGTGCAGTGGCGCAATCTCAGCTCACTGCAACCTCTGCCTCATGGGTTCAAGCAATTATCTGCCTCAGCCTTCTGAGTAGCTGGGATTACAGGTGCCGGCCACCATGCCCTTAAAAATTAGCCTGGCTAGTTTTTGTATTTTTAGTAGAGTCAGGGTTTCACCATCTTGACCAGGCTGGTCTTGAACTCCTGACCTCATAATCCACCTGCCTTGGCCTCCCAGAGTGCTGGGATTAGAGGCATGAGCCACTGCACCTGGCCTGGATGAACTTATTAATGAAAGAGAAGTTGGCAGGGCACAGTGGCTCACACCTGCAATCCCAGCACTTTGAGAGGCCAAGGCAGGTGGATTACTTGAGGTCAGGAATTCAAGATCAGCCTAGCTAACATTGTGAAACCCCATCTCTACTAAAAATACAAAAAAATCAGCCAGGCATAGTGGCACATGTCTGTAATCCCAGCTACTCAGGAGGCTGAAGCAGGAGAATCACTTGAACCCAGGAGGTTGAGGTTGTAGTGAGCAGAGATTCTGCCATTGCATTCCACTCTGGGCAATAGAGAGAGACTCTGTCTCAAAAAAAAAAAGAAGAATCAATTTGGAGCCACTTTTGATCCCAGATCAAATTATAGTAATTATCTAGTAGGGGGCATCTTTGTTCCTGTGGATTAAAAAGCAAATCCTTTTAAAAGGACAGGGGCGGGGTGGTGGCAAATAGTCATCAAGTATTACATATCATGGTTTGTCCTCACCATGTAGTGGGGAGAGAAATTTCAGGCATCATCAAGCCTTTATAGATTTTCTTTTCTACAGGAGATGCCAAGGTTAGGAATCTGGAAGTTTTTGGTTTGTGATAGGGAAATGTCAGAATTGTACTTATTCAGAAGCCAGAAAGTGTTGGGTAATACTCCACAATCTGAAAGCTAGAGCCATACATAGCTATAAATAAGATGTTGTGGAACTGGTTAGATTTCAAAGAAGGGAAGGAAGGGGGAGAGAGCAGGAAAAAAAATTTTCCCCATATCTGTTCCGTTTTGGTAGTCTTCTATGAGCAGGAATAGCTCATTGACCCCATACATCTAATCTTCAAAAGTTTTGGGTGATGTTCTGAGGATACATGTTGGACTTCTCTGTATTTATTTTTTTTGTTGCTATTTCGGGTTTGGTTTTTTTTTTTTTTTTTTTTTTTTTTTTTTGAGGCAGAGTCTTGTTGTGTTGCCCAGCTGGAATACAGTGGTTTGATTTCTGCTCACCATAGGCAACATCCTCCTCCTGATTCAAGCAATTCTCCTACCTCAACCTCCCGAGTAGCTAGGATCACAGGCACTCACCACCACACCCGGTTAATTTTTTTTTTTGTATTTTTTTTAGTAGAGATGGGGTTTCACCGTGTTAGCCAGGCTGGTCTTAATCTCCTGACCTCAGGTGTTCTGCCCACCTTGGCCTCCCAAAGTGCTGGGATTACAGGCATGAGCCACCATGCCTGGCCCAACTGCAGATTTAGATATCATTGTCCTAAATAACTGAGTTTGCACTTTGTGGTATCTCAGGGATAAACTGAAAAGGAAAATATATATATATATATTCCTGAAACTTGTCTGAAAAGAAGTAATGTAAATTTTTTGCGCTTCCACATCAAATTTTGGTTGTTTCTACTCTGCTCCCAATTGAAAGAGACAGAAAAATAGAAACTAAAACATTATCTCAGCCAGGTGCAGTGGCTCATGCCTGTAATCCCAGCACTTTGGGAGGCCATGGTGGGCAGATCCCAAGGTCACGAGATCAAGACCATTCTGGCTAACACGGTGAAACCCCATCTACTAAAGTGGCATGTGCCTGTAGTCTCAGCTACTCGGGAGACTGAGACAGGAGAATCACATGAACCTGGGAGGTTGCAGTGAACTGAGATCATGCCACTGCATTCCAGCCTGGGCCACAGAGCGAGAGTCTGTCTCAAAAAAAAAAAAATTATCTCCATGTTAATGTCTGATTCTGCATCTAATTGATTAAATGAGGTATTAATATGACTTTCAATATTTCTACAGTGTCATTTCAGGCTCTTTGTCACATGGTGAACCCAGTCATGGACTAGCTGATAGAGTCATTAATTGCAGAGAAGTTCTGGAAGCTTTCAACCTCCTGGTGCTCCAGGTCAGCTCCTTCCCGTACACTCTACAGACCCAACAGTCCCGCATTAGCTCTAACAATGAGGTTCACTGGATACAACTGGATACCGGGGTGAGTCTCTTGCCTGCTTTCTGACACACAGTCATTTCTCAGTTCCCCAGGGGGTAGGGCCTTGTAACAAAATGTGGTCATGGCTTAAGACCATATTCACAAGAATTCAAAATCTAACATAATGGTTTATGTAAGAGTTCAAAAATCTAACATAATTCTTTATCTTCTTAAAGTTCCATATATTCACAATTATTATAAGACTAAAGGCTAGTGAATAGTGTCCTACATAAATCTGATTAGGTGATTCTTTTCTTAGGTATCATGCAGATACAATATTATCCATCCTATACAGTTTTCCAAAAAGTAGAGTTGATGTTATCTGAGACCATCATCAATATCCTGGATTTCCTTTATGCCTATAATATGATTAATTTCACCCTTAGAGTCCTCTTGGATGACCTCTTTGTCATGTTTTAGTCTCTGTATCACTGTTAATTACGCTCTTGCTCCTCTAGCAACTATGTTTTGTTTTAAATCAGTTCTCATAGTCTTCTGTATGAAATGGGATGATGACTCTGTTACTTTAAATTACTCCATAAGCACTGAATGCATTGAGACTATCCATCTTAACACTGGATATATCCAGGGCTTTATAGTTTTTACTCCAGTTCCTACTGTTGAAAAATATTTTCTGTGATCTACAAACTGCTAAATATACTATCAAAGAGAAGAAATATGAGTTTCATTAAAATAATAAAAATTAGGCCAGGCACGGTGGCTCACGCTTGTAATCCCAGCACTTTGGGAGGCCAAGGCGGGTGGATGATGAGGTCAGGAGTTCGAGACTAGCCTGGCCAACACAGTGAAACCCCGTCTCTACTAAAAATACAAAAATTAACTGGGCAGGGTGGCAGGCACCTGTAATCCAGCTACTCAGGAAGCTGAGGCAGGAGAATTGCTTGAACCCAGGAAATGGAGGTTGCAGTGAGCCAAGATCATGACACTGTACTCCAGCATGGGTGACAGAATTAGATTCCATCTCAATAAATAAATAAATAAGCCATTAAGCAATGGATCCTTCATTTGAAAATACTGAACACTGGATATTTTAAAATAAACATGTTTAAGTAAAATCACCAAAAATGTGTTAAATAAAACTAACATTTATCAACCCAGTGCCTTTCATTCTGTCATGAAGTAGTTAAGATTTCTCTGACTTTGTGCTGTTGTCTTTGAGCATTGGATTGTTCCTTACAGGCAGCCAGCTCAGGTCCTTGAAGCTTAGTCTTCAGCAGACACTGCCCCCTTATGAGAACTAACTCAGTATGTCCTCTATCACTAGAGATTACTTTGAGCTTTTGCTTTCTTGGTATCTTCTCCATACCGGCTCCAGTCATTCATTGGGCAGTTGAGTTAGGAGTGAGATAACAGAACTACTGGAGTTCCTTTGCCTCCAAACTACGAGGTGGACCTGTGGGCTGCCCAAGCAGCTGCTAGGTTGCTCTAACAAAAAATGGGATTGCCAAGAGAATGAATGGAAAGAATAATTATTTTTTTAAATTAATTTTTTTTTTTTTGAGACAGAATCTCGTTCTGTTGCCCAGGCTGGAGTGCAGTGGCACTATCTCAGCTCACTACAACCTCCGCCTCCCAGGTTTAAATGATTATCCTGCCTCAGCTTCCTGAGTAGCTGGGATTACAGTCATGTGCCATCACACCCGCCTATTTTTTTATGTTTTTAGTAGAGATGGGTTTCACTGTGTTGGCCAGGATGGCTTCGATCTCCTGACCTTGTGATCTGCTTGCCTTGGCCTCCTAAAGTGCTGGGATTAAAGGTATGAGCCACCATGACTGGCCCAATTTTTGTATTTTTTTAGTAGAGACAGGGTTTCAACATGTTGGCCAGGCTCGTCTTGAACTCCCAACCTCAGATAATCTACTCACCTTGACCTCTCAATGTGCTGGGATTACAGGAGTGAGCCACCATGCCTGCCGAGATTAATTATTTTATTACTCTCACAGATAATTTTCCTATTACACATTAAATTTCAATATATTATTGGGATGAAGAGAGAACTATCCTAATTCAGTCTTTTTCAAAAGGGATCACACCCCAGTGATAGGAAGAAGGACCAATAGCCTCTACCCTTTATTTTCTTCTACCATGAAATAGAGAAACAGGTTTAAAATAATTTTCCTTAAAAGTCATTTTAGCTGTGCACATTGGCTCACGCCTGTAATCCCAGCACTTCGGGAGGCCAAGGAGGGTGGATCACTTGAGCCCAGGAGTTCAAGACCAGCCTGGGGAACATGGTGAAACCCCATCTTTACAAGAAATACAAAAGTTATTCAGGCATGGTGGCATGTGCCTGTAGTTCCAGCTACTTGGGAGGTGGAGGCAGAAGAATGACTTGAACCCAGGAGGTGAAGGTTGCAATGAGCCAGGATCATGCCATTGCACTCCAGCCTGGGAGACAAAAGTGAGACTTTGTCTCAAAAAACAAACAAAAATTAGCTGGGTGTGGTGGCAGGTTCCTGTAATCCCAGCTTCTCAGGAGGCTAAGGCTGGAGAATTGCTTGAACCCAGGAAGTGGAGGTTGCAGTGAGCCGAGATCATGCCATTGCACTCCAGCCTGAGTAACAAGAGCAAAACTCCATCTCAAAGAAAAAAAAAAGGGAGGGAGTTCTTATCTTAGACATATCTAGTAATGTACTTCTGGATTAAAGATATGATACCAGGGATTTATTCAAAATAATTGAGAGGTGGAGAGTTATTATACTCTTCCTCAATTTAAAGCTTAAAGAAATCATCCCTGAAATTGAGATCAACATGGAATAAAGGGGAAAAAAACCCACTTAATTTAATTTACAACAACTTTATACAGGTAAGGGAGAAGCTCCTGATGATTAGCCTCCTTTAGTTATTTTGAAGCCAGTATCCCAGGAGGAATTGGAAAAAAGCTAATTAATTTAATTCAAAAAATATGATTGTGCACACCTGTGGACTTGTATTGAATCTTTCAAAGAATACCCAGGAAACTAATGGTTTAGGCCAAGCATGATGGCTTACGCCTATAATCCCAACACTTTAGGAGGCTGAGTCAGGCAGATCATTTGATGTCAGGAGTTAGAGACCAGCCTGACTAACATGGTGAAACCCCATCTCTACTAGAAATATAAAACTTAGCCAGATGTGGTAGTTGGCACCTGTAATCTCAGTTTCTTGGGAGGCTGAGGCAGGAGAATCCCTTAAACTTGGGAGGCAGAGGTTGCAATGAGCCGAGATTGTGCCACTGCACTCCAGCATGGGTGACAGAGTGAGACTCTCAAAAGAAAAAGAAAACTGATGGTTTAGAGGAGAACAAAGTACACATCTAAGTTACAGTTACCCAGAGGAGAATAAGACAAGTTCAAAAAATTAAAACACTCCAGGGGTTGAAGTGAGGAAAGAGTCACATTCATTTGAGTGGTCCAGGGGAGGCCCCATGGGAAAGAGCACAGAGGATGGCCCTGAAAAGACGGGAAGGACTGGGCAGGGGGTTGGGGCAGGAGGAGGCACTCCTGGCAGCAGACAGTGTGATCAGGGGACACAGAGGACACACCCTGTGGGCATTTTTTCAGAGGATGCCTCATAGGACACAAAAGAAGCCTGAAAATATACACATGGATCTGTGAGTGCCAAATTAGCAAAGTTTACACTTATTACACAGGCATTAAGGATATTTTAGCAAGGTTATACAGATACATAGCATTATTAGAATTTATCTATTTCTTGTTTATATCAACAATGTAAATGTACAGGTTGATGAATTTTCACAAACTAAACCTGTGGGGCCAGCACTCAGATCAATAAACAGAATATTACCACCACCCTGGAAGTCCTGTGTCCCTTCTAGGCACCCCCACTAAAAGGTAACACTATTCTGGACTCCTATACCACAGATTTGTTTTGCTTAGTATGGAGCTTATATAAATGGAAACAGGCAGTATGTACTCTCTTGTATCTGACTTCCTTTGCTCAACGTTTTGTGTTTGAAATTTGTCTATAGTTTGCATGAATCATAAATCATTCTCTTTTTTTGAGACAAGGTTTTGCTTTGTTGCCCAGGCTGGGGTGCAGTGGCGCCATCTCAGCTCGCCGCAACCACCGCCTCCTGGGTTCAAGTGATTCTCCTGCTTCAGCCTCCCAAATATCTGGGGTTACAAGCATGTGCCTCCACATCTGGTTATTTTTTTATTTTTTTTTAGTAGAGATGGGGTTTCTTCATGTTGGTCAGGCTGGTCTCAAACTCCCGACCTCAGGTGATCCAACTGCCTTGGCCTCCTAAAGTGCTGGGATTACAGGGGTGAGCCACTGCACCTGGCTGAATCATAAATCATTCTTTTTTCTCTGTTTGTGTGTGTGTTACACTGTATGACTCCACCACAATTCATTTATCCATCCCATTTAATTTATTTTAAATAGTACTGCTGTAACATCCTGATACATCCTTTAGTAAATGTGTGTATGAATTTCTTTTGGGTCTCTGAGAGTGAAATTGTTGGGTCATGAAGTACACATATATTCAGCTTTAGTAGCTATTGAGAGGCAGTTCATTCAATCTATAGGCAAAGTCAGAGTGATTAGAAGTAGATCAGTCAGTGGCATTTTGGATAATTTGGGTTAGAATGAATAAATACTTCAATCAGAATGGTGGTCCTGGCAATAAAAATGGATGGGAGACATGGTAAATTTTCTAGAATTTGTTTATTCAGAGAGAGGGAAGAACCAGAAATATTTTTGAGGTGTTGCCTTTAGTTGGAAAACAGAAGTGAAAGAAGCTTTTTGTTTGTTTTTTGAGACAGTCTTGCTCTGTTGGCCAGGCTGGCATGCAGTGGCACAATCTCGGCTCACTGCAACCCCTGCCTCCCAGGTTCAAACGATTCTCCTGCATCAGCCTCCTGAGTAGCTGGGATTATAGTCATGCACCACCATGCTCAGCTAATTTTTTTATATTTTTAGTAGAGATAGGGTTTCACCATGTTGGCCAGGCTGGTCTTGAACTCCTGCCCTCCTCAGCTTCCCAAAGTGCTGGGATTATAGGCGTGCGCCACTGCCCCGGCCCGAAAGAAGTTTGATTTGTGGAGGGCAGATGGGATTGACTTTAAGACTGAGTTAAGATAGAGGTGAGCACACCATTGTGTAGATTAGGGATTTTTTTTTTTAATAAATAATGATTATTGAAGCAGCTGGTATGGTTAGAATCATGGAAGAAAATAACAAAGAGAACTGCCAAGAGTGCAGTGAGGCCAAGGACCAGCAAGTCAACACCACTGGCATTGGCCTCAAGAGTCCTTGGTAACCTTCCAGGGAACAGTATCTGAAGAGCAGAGCATTGGACAGAAGCAAAGGCAGAGACAGCAGCAAAAGCACAGGGAGCATGGAGGGTCACTGAGAGGGCAGGCCTTCCAGAGCTGGGAGTTTGCCTTATGAGAAGGGACATTCTTCCCCCAGAAACAGTGATTCAATACATCACACGATTTATAATACCTGAAACATACCTTTACAGAAAAAGCATTCAGAGTTTCATAGCTCATGGTTTAAAGGATGGTTCCACTCATTTCTATTAAAATTTTTGTAACATGTACAAAACCATAGTTACAGTTTAATGCAAACAGAACAGATGGGGAAAATATTCACTTCTAATTCTAATTTTTAGTAGCTCTAGTTCTCAAAACCCATACTGGCTGCAGTTAATCGCGGGCCATCTATTTCCCAACCTGCTAAGAAAAGAGAAAAAGAAATAAAAACGAGGACAGGTGGATGGATGCAAGGTGGATGCATCGTATCCAGCAGTTCTAATGCTGTGTCAGGAAGAGCAGCAGGCTTGAAGTGGGATTTATTTTCCCAAAGAAATGGGCCAAGGGTTAGAGGAAAATGTGAAGACCAAGTACACATTTCATAAAGTTTTTCCAAATGACTCTGTGTCTGCAGTCCAGATGAGGAGGGAAACTTAGATGAATGACTTTTTTCCCTGTGAAACGACTTATTTGACACAGTTATCCAGAACACAGTTAAGCCCAGAAGGAAACAAGCAAAGGCTTCTAGCCTTGAAATGTCATTCAGTCTATGCTGTCAGTCTCCAATATCTCTAAGAACATAGTCTTGTGCTCTCATAAAGCCTATTTACTCTCAAATAAAACCCTATTCCAAAAAGCAGGGCTTTGGTGGGGGGGCTCAGAAAATTAAAATCTGCCAGTTAAAACATGCTTTATTTTTATCTCATGAACCTTATCAATCGTACAGTTGTTTCTCTTTAGTTGGTTACTAAAAAGCTCAGAACCAGCTGGGCACAGTGGCTCATGTCTGTAATCCCAGCACTTTGGGAGGCTGAGGCGGGTGGATCACTTGAGGTCAGGAATTGGAGACCAGCCTGGCTAACATGGTGAAACCTCGTCTCTACTAAAAATACAAAAATTCGCTGGGTGTGGTGGTGCGTGCCTGTAGTGCCAGCTACTTGGGAGACTGAGACAGGAGAATTGCTTGAACCCGGGAGTCAGAGGTTGCAATGAGCCAAGATCACGCCACTTCACTACAGCCTGGGCAACAGAGTGAGACTCCATCTCAAAAAAAAAGCTCAGAATTTAGGCTACCAAATTTGTAGCCCACTTCTAACAAAATGTGCAGAAACTTCTGGCATGCACTTTGGGAAATACTAACTTTATCTCTGGCCCAATCTTCCTTCTCTTACCTTTGCTTTTTCTTTCTCAGGTTGCTTAATGTATTTTTATCTTATCATATTTTTTAAAGCTGCCTTATTTCCTTTATAACATGAGTTGGAGACTGCTTAAATAAAAATGTCAATACATAATAAATAACAAAATTGAGACCAAATGGCACAGGCAACATGACAGCAAGAATTGACTGTAAAAAGCTAATGTAGAAAAGATGCAAAAGAAAACTATAAATAAAAACAGATTCATGAACTCAAAAAGCTTACTTAATATTCTGGAGCTTCTGAGTTTAAGGACAAGCAGCTTATCACCCGTCTCAAGATCCTCTGAGGGCATCCTTGTGTCATGTCCTGAAATAGCTGTTCATTTTCATAGTGATGACTGACTCATCAAGAAGGGGCAACATTAAATACTGTGGATCTTGTTTAAGGAAAGTATATATTCCATTTTAAAGTAAAATTTGTTTGCAAAGATAAAAGCTTTTATGAGTTACCAGTGTGGAATAATGTCAGAAAAGTTAAGGTTTCTGTAACAGAGGAGTTTGTCAATCTCCAGAGAGTTCTGAGGAGAGCCTGTGTATCTGTATAGTGAACTGCTTCCAGCAGGGAAAAAGGCTGAGAATTGAGGCTGTCTGACCTTGTGTATTCCAACAAAAGAAAAAGAAAACAAACCGTGTGCCTGAAGGAAGTGTGCCAACTTTACACTAATCACATATTCAGTTCCTTTGAATTGAAATTTTACTTAGTGCCTCAGAGATGACTGCAGAGTTGGTGTTGGGTTACATAATGAAACACATTTTTTTTTTTCTTACTTGTTAGGAAATAACCTCTTATAGGGATTCCTCCACCCCCACCCCTTTTGGAAAACAAGACACACTATATCCTGTCCTCATTGGGTTTTTTCTCTGTTTTTTGACCAGGAGGACGTGGGCTGCGAGGAGAAGCTGTACTTTGGCTTGAATGAATACAGCAAGTCTCTGCAGTGGGGGATCACGAGCCCACTTCTGAGATGTGACGAGACTTTTGAAAAAATGGTGAACACACTCTTGGAGAGGTAAATAGTAAATAAGGCCTTCTGTTCTTCTCTCTCGCTGTACTTGCAGACCTAAAAGAGCCAAAAGCCTTTTGTGTCAGTGCTATGGGAGTTTGTTGGAGCCCTTGCAGATAACATGCAAAGGCCAAATTAAAATAGCCTTTCCTAAGATGCTCTACTATTGTTTTATGTGATCATCCAAGACCAATCAAGGAAAATACAACCAAAATGGGACATTGCAGTACTTTCCATGCTGAGTCAGCTCGCAGTCATACATCATTGGTATCATCAGGAAATTGACAGGGTAGAGAGGGATTTGCTTATTAAAGACCCGCTCCTCTGAGCTCCAGCCTCTTTGACCCTAAACCTCGGACTTTTGACATTTTCCCTCTTTTCTCCCCTGTCTACCACAGGCAAGGACCCTAAGATGATTCAGTAAAAACTATATTATGAGAGATTTGAACTGTACACTGGAAGAAATTAAAGAACAATCAGATAATTTAAAATGAATTCAGGGTAACTCCTCCAGTCCCTGACCTTAGGGATTAAGGATCATGACTCTTCTGATTTCAGTGAATTTGGTTATTGGGACACCTCTTCTAGTCCCTGACTTTAGGGATTAGGGATCATGACTCTTCTGATTTAAGTGAATTCAGTTCTTGGGGTGCCTCCTCTAGTCCCTGACTTTAAGGATTAAGGATCATGACTCTCTGTCTTCTCTTCCCTTTTCCTTTAAAGAAAAAAAAATTCCGCAGTTCCAGATTAAACTCTGAGTTTTTTCCCTTCATGACCTTGAATCATAGATTCAAAGAGAAGGTAGAGACTTTAGAATTTACCTAACCTAATAGAAGTCCCTCTCTGCCCTCCACAATATTCTGTTTGATCATCCAATGTTGGGGCGATTGGGCAAATTCTAATTTTTAGTAGCTGTAGTTCATAAAACAGCTTTAATTGATCATATTATTTAACATCTGTTTAACAAACCTGCCCCATAATTTTGCTAAGAAAAAAGAAAAGGAAATTCAAATGAGGACCTGTGGATGCCTCCTATTCAGCAAATTATAATTACAATACTGCATCAGAAAACAGCTCAGGCTCAGAGTAGGGTTTGATATTTTTGCAGCTTTGCATTTTGGAAGTTTTAACTGACACTGTGACATTAATCCTTTCACAGCACATGTAGTCTTAATTTTCCAAAATCATCCCATGAGTACCCCCTGTAAGCGTTCCTACCCACCGGTTACATCCACCAGCTTGAAATGTATCTTCTTTTTCCGTTAACATCATTTAGAGTTTCATAACTTTTCTTTTAAATGATGGTCCCATAAACTTCCTATTATAGTTTTGTGCTATAAAAGCTGTAAATATAGTTTAATGCAAGCATGACAGATTGGAGAAAGTATGCACTTCTAAATTCATGATTCTTTCAGAGTATGAAATAGAAATGGCTGGGTACAGTGGCTCACCCCTGTAATCTCAGCACTTTGGGAGGCCGAGGCGGGCAGATCACCTGAGGTCAGGAGTTCAAGACCAGCCTGACCAACATGGAGACACCCTGTCTCTACTTAAAACACAAAATTAGCTGGGCATGGTGGCACATGCCTGTAATCTAGCTACTCAGGAGGCTGAGGCAGGAGAATCACTTGAACCTGGGAGGCAGAGATTGCAGTGAGCCGAGATCGTGCCATTGCACTCCAGCCTGGGCAAAGCGAAACTCCATCTCCAAAAAAAAAGAAATAGAAATGCCAAATATCAAAGTTACCATGTATTCTATCTTTGGCTTTTCTACATGGCCCAGCAAAAAGCATTAAGCCTGAACATAGATATACTTACTTCCTCTAACCCAGTCACCCCATCCTAATAGTAGCTATGACTTACTGAATAACTGAAGGGACCAGCCCAGGATTTATTGAACTGAAGGAATTCTTCATTTCTACCCAAGCTGCTAAATCCTTGCAGTGTGTGAAGACATTGTTAGAGACTGGATAAAATCTAGACCCAGCTCTGTCTCTGATCAGTTGTATGATATGGGACAAGTAACTGCACTTCTCTCTGCCTTTGAACTCATTCTCCTATGAAAAGGCAGAGTGGTTTGAATACAGGGCACCTTTGGTCCTTTCCAGCTCTAAAACACCTCAAAAATATTCATGTGTTAATTCATTTGATGGCTCTCATTGGCATTTATTTGACCCAGAGCTTTTCTGTTCAAAGCCAGTGGACCACTTGTTGTATTTTAAATAGAATTATAAAGTGGAACAAAGGTGAAATCCCCCATCAGCCTACACAGCTGCTGGCAAACAGAAAGAAAGTGCATGGCCCCAGCCCCATTTTACCAGGCTCCGTGAGAGCCTTACCAACCTTGGACCCAGGGCCCACTTTGTCGGAACCTTCTTTCCTTCCTTCCCTCTCTCCCTCCCTCCCTCTCTTCCCTTCCTTTCCTGCCTTTCTTGATAGTGTCTTGCTCTGTCACCCAGGCTGCAGCACAGTGGAGTGATCTTGGCTCTTTGCAACTTCCACCTCCCAGATTCAAGTGATTCTCTTGCCTCAGCCTCCCAAATAGCTGGGATTACAGGCGTGCACCACCACACCCAGCTAATTTTGTATTCTTTATAGAGGTGGGGTTTCACCATGCTGGCCAGGATGGTCTCAAACTCCTGACCTCAAGTAATCTACCCACCGTGGCCTCCCAAAGTGCTGGGATTACAGGCGTGAGCCACCGCGTCTGGCCTACTTTCTTTTCTAAAAAATTTTATTCAGCAATAGAAGTACTGCTGGGCAGTGTGCTCAGGGTAGCCAAGCACCTACTTTCTTGACTAGCACTATTTCATGCCTGTAAGTAGATCTTCTTTGCCCATTTGTACTCATTTTGTTATTAGGCCTGGCGGAGGCGTAGCACCAAAAGGAGAGATTTGTTTTCCACCTGCTCTATAATTGTAAAAACTGCTGATTTGAACAAAGTGATCTCTTTCATGGCAGTCCAGGCTTTGGGGAGAATGGCAGCATTGGCTGCTGCTATTAGGCGCAGATTTGCGTCTCAGGTGATGAGACTACACCACTAGGGGGTGCTGTTTCTCCAGTCAGCTCCAAGTTTTCTTTAGCACCAAAGAATAGTTTATGGAAAGATGGAGATTGCTATCTCTGAGGCTGACCTCAGATTAGTAGTAATAATTACCCTTTTTATGTCTAAAACTCAACAGATATTACATTAATGCCTCAGTTTTCTTTACTGTAATCTTACATATCAGAGAAATAAGTGGACAGTGCTGCCATTCTAACCCAATGCCACCAGCAAGAGGTGAGAGGATCCAGGGATTATCCATGATGACTGCTGGCAGTGAACGCAGTAGACCAGTGCATCTCAGAATTTAATGTGCATGTAATTCACCGGGAGTCTTGTTAAGCTTCAGATTCTGATTAGTAGGTCTGGGGTGGGGAGATTCGGGATTTCTAACAAGGTCCTGCTGGTGCCCCTGCTGCTGGTGGTCTATAGACCACATTTTGAGAAGAGAGTCACTAGACAATCTCTAACCCCCTTTTCTGTGCTGTACTTATCCCAACAGGTTGACTCGTATGGTTTGGAAGCTCAACCTTTCCTTCCAGTGATGTGGGATCCCAGTTCATTCTGAGCTAAAGCCCCACCACCTGATCAGTAGCCCCTTCCCCTCTATGCTTAATCTGCATTCTTCTTGCACAGGCCTTGCTGCTCCCAGCTGGCTCTGCTGCCTGAGTGCTAGTGCCTTGTGTTCTGTTGAAGGTACCCCAGGTTGCACAGCATGGTCGTCCGCTGCTATCTTCTCATCCAGCAGTACTCTGAGGCTCTGATGGCTCTCACCACCATGGCATCACTCCGAGACCACAGCACACCAGAAACACTCAGCATTATGGATGACCTCATCAGCTCCCCAGGCAGAAACACAAGTGGGAGGGGGCACATGCTCATTATCAGGGTGCCCTCGGTACAGCTGGCGATGTTAGCCAAGGAGCAGCTACAGGAGGTGCGCGACAAACTGGGTCTGCAGTATCGGTTTGAGATCATCCTTGGGAACCCAGCCTCTGAACTCAGCGTTGCAACTCACTTTGTGGCACGATTAAAGGTTAGCAATGGCCAGACATTTCTCCTTTAAAATACCATTTGTTTCTCTTTTCTAGGAATCCTACATAGGTAGCTCAAAGGCCTGAGTTTAATAGATTTTTAAACGTGTGAATTTGATCTCCATAACAGTGATAAGGCTAAACTAAGGGACATATTACTTTCTTAATTGGAACCAGTTTGTAAAGATTGCTCAGCCCTTTTATAGCAGGTGCATGCAGTTGGTCTTCCACGCTCTCCAACTGCAGGTGCAAAAAATGAGATGACCTAATTTGACCCCATGTTTATCAGCCTTGTTCAAGATGCATCTAGCACTCTGTCATCTGTTTTCTCAGAAAAAAAGGTAAGTTGTCCTCTCAGACCTCTGTGGGGTAATGCTTTAAGAATCCTCAACTCACTAATTCTTTTCTGTTCATCTAGCCTGTCTATGAGCTCATGTCTAGAGTCGGTAAAGTATTCTGTTTCATCTTCAGCACTCAGAACTGTTCCTAGCCCTCTTGCATGTGGATTCCTCAACAGTTTGTTGTTTCTTTTTACTTGCTTTGACCCTCAGTCCCAAGGCTTTGGCTGGACTGAGACTTCGCCAGGCACCCTACGGAAGGATTTAGTGCATGACCGAGTCCCTTACTGCTCCCTCTGCACGGCCAGTGACTGACTGCCTCTCCCCTTCCCCTCCTGTCAGGCATTGGGGTGTGAGGAGTAGAATCCTCAACCAATGATCCTAACTCCCTACCTTATGCCTGGCACGGTTTTTCTGGGCCTATAATCCAGTGGGGCCTAGCCATTAGAAAGCATTTAATCAAATATGCACCTACATGTCGGTATGGAACTGAGCTAGGTACTGTATGTCTGAGTTAGACCAACTTGTATCTGCACCGTATACACTAAATAAAGCTAAATTGGGTTAAGGAAAATCTGGTTCAGCACAGATTTTATGAAAAGAAGGCACGTAGTCTTGGCGGAATTTGCATTTTCACCCTGGGCTGCAGTTTCCCATCTGCAAAATGAGAGAATTGGGCTGTATAATCTCTAAGAGTTTTAATTTGGAGATGATTAGTGTTCAAAAATTGTTCTGCAAATGTCAGTCTTTTTCTTGTGTTCTGTTAGCTAACCTAAATTGAATAATCCAAAATGCAAACAAAATATCTTGTATTAGCTTGATAAGCAACTGGAACAAATAAAACTGTCCAAAAAATAGAAACTCCTATATTTTAGAAGTTGTAACATTTATGTTTCATATATAGATACATGTTCACAATTTTACATTATAGACTACATTACAGCGGAATTCCTACGATGAATAACAAAACTTCAGAAATGCTTCTTACAGTATAATTCATGAAGACATGAGTTACGGGCTTTTTAGACTATTTGAATATTGCTGATGATGAAGAATTTGGAAAGGCAAACAGTCAGCAGCACCATGCTGAATCTCACATACTTGTTGCCAGAGATGACCTAAATGGATGTGAGGCTGCAGAGTCTTCTCTTGGTTTCTGTTGACACTGATTAAGTGTAGCTACTTACAGAGTCTTCAGTCATGTATTCAGATGGGCCAGTCACTAAGTCAGTATAAATCAGTCGGTCTTAAATAATTTATCCATCTGGACCACTGTTTGAAAACCACAGTCAAGGCCTGAGGTTCTTCACCTGGCTGCTAGTTCATCAGAATCACCTGCAGGGCTTCTAACGGGCCATTGGTTGAGGATTGCAGTGCCCTAAATGAAGAAGACCTCAAGTTATGACTTCTCAAGGCAGTGACATCTTCCTCAATTGGTATGAGTAGTTGCCAGGCACCAAGTACACATAAGAGAGTACCATATTCTGGCCGTTGTGATGGCTCATGCCTGTAGTCTTGGCTACTTGGGAGGGTGAGGCAGGAGGATTGCTTAAGCCTGGGAGTTCCAGGCTGCAGTAAGCTGTGATCCTACCACTGTACTCCAGCCTGTGCAACAGAGGGAGACCCTCTCTTTAAAATGTATAAAAATAAACAAGTCCCAAATTCTCAAAATCACTGGATCACATCAATCCTTTTTATGCTCTGTATTTGTGTGGGAGTAAAAATATGAGATCATGTTGGGATGTTTACATCCTAAGCAAGACTGAATTGTCAAGTAGATTCTGATTCATTCATTCATTCATTCATTCATTCATTCATTTGAGACGGAGTTTCACTTTTGTTACCCAGGCTGGAGTGCAATGGCGCAATCTCGGCTCACCGCAACCTCCGCCTCCTGGGTTCAGGCAATTCTCCTGCCTCAGCCTCCTGAGTAGCTGGGATTACAGGCACACGCCACCGTGCCCAGCTAATTTTTTTTGCATTTTTAGTAGAGACGGGGTTTCACCATGTTGACCAGGATGGTCTCGATCTCTTGACCTTGTGATCCACCTGCCTTGGTCTCCCAAAGTGCTGGGATTACAGGCTTGAGCCACCACGCCCAGCCCACTTATTTATTTCTAAGTTACCAACCTCCTTTACCATTTTCAGGACGGCAAGATTATGCTTTCTATCTCTACTCTTGGGTAGAATCCAACACTACTTCTATTATGTGACCTTATTTTTGTGCTTACCCCTAATTATCCAGTTATGTATTGTGGTTAGCTTATACTGATGATGAGCCCTTTGGAAGGATACAAAGTTTAAGTTAGTGAGTTCCTCCAGAAGGCATGTGAAGCTTTCATTAGATGTCTTTGGTCTTAAGCCTGGTATTATCCATGAACTCAATGATCACCCCATCATCTTGAGGGCATGGTTGATGCACAGTGGAACTGCAGCCATCAGTCATTAAAAGTAGCAGTGTGATGGAAAAGCATTTTATAGTGTTTTGGCTAGCTGTGGTTGCTTAAGAGTAGAAGTGATATTTGACTAATAATCTGAAAATAAATATCCTCATATAGGCCAGGTGTGGTGGCTCATGCCTATAATCCCAGCACTTTAGGAGACTGAGTTGGCCAGATTGCTTGAGGTCAGAAGTTCAAGACCATCCTGGCCAACATGGCAAAACCCTATCTCTACTAAAAATACAAAAATTAGCCAGGTGTGGTGGCATGCACCTATAATCACAGCTACTCGGAAGGCTGAGGCAGGAGAATCTTGAACCCAGGAGGCAGAGGTTGCCATTAGCCAAGATGGCACCACTGCACGCCAGCCTGGGTGACAAAGTGAGACCCTGTTTTGAGAAAAAAAAAAAAAAGTCCTCATATAGTAAAATGTTTTATCTCTTATTCCATCAGTATAACCTGACCTCATTCTTCTTGGTAAAGCTATGACCTATATAGAGATCATTCTGGGAGATAAAACACATTGAGTGAGAAGCCCGGTGTCAGGGATACCTTGCATCCGATGTGAAGGCAATCAGTAGTAAAGTGATTTCTATTCCAGAGTGGTTTGCTTTAAGTCAGGCAATGTTATGGTTCCCCTTGACATGAAATAGTACAGAAAATTAAATTTTTTAAGAGAATTTTTCTTCTAGCATTAAAAAAATCTTTTTGATACATTGATTTTTCTACAACATGGAAAGTCTGTGAAACTTGTAAACAGTTACATAGATTCCCTGTTTCCCCTTAGTATGCACATATATAATAAAAGATTGGACAACAAGTAAAAGCCTAAGAACGGTTAAACTTCTTTCAATTTTACAAATTATAGAAATTTTATTTGAAGTGATTGTGGGAATGTTTATTTCTCAAGACTGGCTTTTCTTTTTCTTTCTTTTTTTTTTCTTTTTAAGACAGAGTTTCACTCTGTCCCCAGGCTGGAGTGTAGTGGCACGATCTCAGCTCACTGCAACCTCCACCTCCCAGGTTCAAGCGATTCTCCTGCCTCAGCCTCCCAAGTAGCTGGGATTACAGTTGTACACCACCACACACAGCTAATTTTTGTATTTTTAGTAGAGACAGGATTTCACCATGTTGGCCAGAAGGGTCTTGATCTCTTGACCTTGTGATGCGCCCACCTGGACCTCCCAAAGTGCTGGGATTACAGGCATGAGCCACCGCACCCGGCCAAGACTGGCTCTTCTTTATTGAGCCTTTTCTTGGCATCAGCAAATCATTAATATAATTCTATTATCTTTTGCCTGGTGACTTTTTTTTCTTTTCTTTTTTTTTTTTTTGAGACAGTGTCTCACTCTGTCACCCAGGCTGGCACCATCTTAGCTCACTGCAATGTCTGCCTCCCAGGTTTAAGTGATTCTTCTGCCTCAGTGTCCCAAGTACCTGGGATTAAAGGCATATGCCACCATGCCCAGCTAATTTTTGTATTTTTGGTAGAGATGGGGTTTCACCATATTGGCCAGGCTGGTCTCTAACTCTTGACCTTGTGATCTGCCTGCCTCGGCCTCCCAAAGTGCTGGGATTACAGGCGTAAGCCACCATGCGCAGCCATTGTGACTTTCTTTTTATCCCATTTTGTGCTTAGCAAAGGAAGTACCAGTCTTTTTTAAAATAATGTTGTATGTATTACTTAACACCTTGCTTCTTAGTCCTTTCCCCCAAAGCATTATCAGAAATGTCAGTTCATTTCTTATAATAACTGCTAGAAAGGTGACAAAAAGTATAGGTACATGCTACACACTTAATGAAAAGTAGTAGAAACAACCCTATCTACTTAAGAGATGCCCATTTTTCTTTCTTTTCTAAAATAGAAAAATCTTTAAGATCATTTTACCTTCTTTTTTAAGTTCTGTGGTACATGTACAGAATGTGCAGGTTTGTTACATAGTTATACACGTGCCATGGTGGTTTGCTGCATCTATCACCCTATCATCTACGTTAGGTATTTCTTCTAATGCTATCCCTCACCTAACCTCCACCAGGGGCCACTAGGCTCCAGTGTGTGATGTTCCCCTCCCTGTGTCCATGTGTTCTTTGTTCAGCTCCCACTTAATGAGTCAGAACATGTGGTGTTTGGTTTTTTATTCTCGTGTCAGTTTGCTGAGAATGATGGTTTCCAGCTTCACCCATGTCCCTGCAAAGGACATGAACTCATCCTTTTTTATGGTT